AACAAGAACTAATTTTTTACACCAATGAACATACAGGTAACATCAACAAGTTCTATAACGATTCAAATTATCTACATTTTATCATCATGCATAAATTATCCTTAAATAAAAGTGGCAAAATCTTTTCATTAAGACATACAATTATTGATAGAAGAAAAAAGATGAACACACTATATGATGCCACCATGTACTGTAACCATCATGTGACTTTTGAGTTGAGTGATCTTTGTCGAGGTGATCATCAAAGAAAGACCAAAGATTGACGGCTGGATCACAATGTGTAGTGTGTTAGAAGAGTTATAGTTTATATTGTGCATTCATTCAATGAACCACAACATCAAATACCAAAAGAGGCATGAATATGAGTACCGTGGAATCTGAACACTTAATAGTCACGTAGAGCAGATCCAGTTTTATTGTAGTGGTGTAAAGCAATCATGCTTATGCACCATGGTCAAGGTTTGACCCCATCGATTTCTCTATCCCTTAGTAAATAGTTATTTAACATGCCGACGTTATGGATGGTAAAAATTAAAAAAAAAAAAAAAAAACAGGGTCACGTAGTAATAGGAGTATGATCGATCCAGGGATGATGGATGTACTCGCACACTCTATTCTATATGTTCCCTATGACGGATACTTATCTGAAAGACAACTGGGATGGTACTGGTAGGGAAATCCCTCATAATTTCAATGAGACCTGCAATCCCAAAAATCTGCACCCATCCTAGATTCTTAATCCCAAACCCACTGTCCTCTGAAACCCACTGTCCTCAAACCATAAATAGCATCCACATGCCTGCCTATTCTGACTCCATCATCAAGGGTGTCTCAACCGTGATGATTTCCTACTCCAGTTGGAATGGGAAAAAGATGCATGCAAACCGTGATCTAATTACGGACTTCCTCAAGGGCACCCTTAAATTTAAGGTACCATTTTATTCATTTTTATTTAATATCCAAGCTTGTTGCAGTTTTCTGGAGTTATCAACAATCACATGCACAGAAAGGTATAAAGTGGAATCATGTCTCATCTATGTACTGAGATTTCATGTAAGCACGAAACCAGCATGCCTACTGTTAAAATCTTTCCATGAATTAAAAGAAAGGTTTCTGGCATCAAAACCTTTGCATATTGCATTTATCAGTACTTTTATTTGCGTGGTTTTCTCTTCCTTGACATCTCATAGCTTAAATTACAGATTTTCAAAATATATGCTCTTAATCGTGACTAGTTGACTGCTTTATAATTGTTCTTTCCCTCAATCCCACTTTGTGGGATAAGGCTTAGTTGTTGTGTTGTGGTTTCTTGACTGCCCATAATGTTGCCATTACAGATTATTGTCTTTGTAGCAATCATAATACATTCAAACAAACTTCTGATGCAGATTAGTGCCTAGCATACATCGGTACCGCATCAGTTATATGATTTATCCTGTTTTGCATCAGTTCCCACATTTATGCGTCTTTAAGCTTCATTTGTGTTAATGAGTTGAAATTTCAGATTCCATATGAAATTAAGGTATTTGTGATAAGTTGATAACTCAATAATATTACTGATCTCGAGTTCTGGTTGTTATCGGTCTATCCTAAAGAATAGAAACCCATTGAAAAATTGAAATTCAGAAACCTTACCTGTATCTTGGGCCTCTTGTGTGTCGGTGTGTGTCACCAGAGGACAGAGGAGCGCCTTTGAACTGGACAGAGGAGTAGCCTTGAGGTGGATAGACTCCACGGAGGAGTGAGTTCGAACTGGACGGAGGAGCTGGAATGAGCGTCCTATAATTTTGGGAGAGTAAAGGTGAGACGGAATGAGAAAAGGTGGACTGGAAGCTTTCCAGTTTCTAACCCTTTAATATAGCTACTAATTTTTTTTAATTAATATTTTAAGAGTGAGTGGGCACAATGAGGTGGGTTTAAATCAGATTGTGGCAAACCAAATTTTTGAATTTGGTGGTGGGAACATAATATAAGAGAGGGAGAAGTCCAATTTTAAAAAATAGAGGGATAATCTAATTTGGAGAAGGAGAAACTTAATATAAGTTCAATTTTATAAGTCATTATTAGTTATAGTCCAACTTAATTTGTTTTATTTTTCGGATGAGGTCCAGTGATTAATTATCCGCATAAGCTTATTTGTATTAGATTGCCAAATTTACCCTTAAATCGATTAATTAAGTAATTGCTGTTTATTTTTTCATTTGTGATTAATGTTAATCTTATCCTGAATTATAGGATTAATTAAGCAAGTTTTTTTGTTTTTCCCCTTTTTTATTTTGGTTTCTCGTTTCTTTTTTCTTTTAGTTTACTGGTAATGGGCGTTGGGGAAGTATGAAAGCAAGCATTTTTTTTTCCTTTTTTATTTTCTTTTTTCATTTCTTCTATCTTTTAGTTTACTGGTAATGTCTCATAATCTTTATGTTGCCACGCTGTGAATTCACTGAATTCTGCGGTATGAAGCGGACGAGAAACATAATTATAACCTAAAAAAATATACTAGGAGTAAATCTACAAGGGCTAATTAGAAAGAAAACATTATTATATTGGAATACGACATAAGTTGATAAAAGGACCGAAGTGGAGTCCAGCATAGCATAACTTATTGGTTCCTTCCCTTTGGGCTGAATGGCCTCTTTCCCACAAGGTGGGAGTTTATATTCATTTCAATCCATAGTTTAGTGAAACGACTTCAAATGTTTGTAACTATGCCGTTATAATCCGGATTCGCAAATGGTTTTTATCTGTGCGTTCGTGGTCTCGAGATCTATTTGAAAACATCAATTGTGAACTTGAAAGGTCAACGAATTTTAAAGATTGATTACGAAAATTCAAATCCGATAGTTATTCGATTTAATTCCAAAAATCAATGGAATTAAAATTAACTAATGAAAATAATGTAAACGTGAAATACGAATTTAAATAACGAGATATGTAATTAATAGTGAATTTCTGAGGATGGGATTTCACAAAGCCATTATTAGTTATAGTCCAATTTTGTTTTAATTTTGAAGCTCTATCGAAGGTTAATTGTGTTTAGCATGATAAAAGGCTTGCGTTGTTCTTTTATTAATTTTTTTCTTTTTTTCTTTCGTTTTTTCTTTTTTGTATGAACCGGGAAACATAATTATAAACCAAAAAATATATAATGTTGGGAGTATCTATATCATGGGCCAATTAGAAAGAAATATTATTATATTGTAATACTACATAAGTTGATAAAAGGACCCAAGAGGAGTCCAGCATAGCATAAGATAGTTATATTTTCATAGTACACCAGTGAAATATAACATAATACAAAATATATTAATTGTCCTCGTCATCGCTGCTTAAAATCTCAACGGTAACATTCTGCATATTTCGTGAGCTCAACTGTGGGACAGACAGACCTCTAGGACGAATTTGTGCTTGATAAGTGCGTGGTTCTTCAATAATAACGACAGAACTGGTAGACTGTTCAGTTGTTGTTTCAGCAGAAACCAAATTGACAGGATATTGTTCTGTCCTACCTGGGTTTGCCCATGCTGGCAATACACGTCCTTGAGGTGCGCGTACGCATCCGTTATTGAAGGGTAATGCGTAGCCAAGGCGACCATCAGCAAAAGTAGTAAGAATGTACTGATTATTAAAAGGACGAGGCATGCGCCCGGCATTAACAGGTTGTCGTGGACGTTGAACTGGAGGATTCGTTGTGGAATTTTCTGTTGTAATGTTGGAAGCAATATACGAATGTGATGCTGGAGATTCAGTTCCAATTCTAACTCCACGACGTCGCCTGTCCGCCATTGTCAATGATGTAGAACTTGCTCAAATTCAAAAGAAACATATGTGTATGAAGCAACCTTCTTAATTTCCATATACAAATTAGTAAGGGAGTGTGTGGACGTTTTATAGTAGAATAAAGGCACAAATCCATAATTATGCCAACATATTCTTTTGCTATAGAGTATTTATTATTTATTAATATTTACTGGACACAATTTCTAACATTTGTGTCAGAAAAGAGGAATTTATAATTATTAAAATATATTCTCTATTTGAAGACCCAATGAGAAGAAGAGTGATTTATTATTTATTAATATTTAGTGGACACAATTTCTATCATTAGTGTCATAAAAAGGAATCTACAATTATTAACTCATTTGTCTATCTGAAGACCAACTAACTTTTGCACAGAGACCAACCCTAAGGGCACAATTGTTGGTTATGTGTCACTGCAGGTAGGACTTTAAAACCAAAAACCATATCACCAAGTATAAAAAACAAACCTGCAAGAAGATAACAATCCAAAAAGCAATTCAAAAAGATACGAATCTAACAAACATTCATTGCACCTGGAAATGATCCTTTGTAAATCTAAAACATGCCACTTAGTACTATGGTGTAGTGGTATTCTTCTTTACTTGTAAGTGAGAGATCTGAGGTTCAGCTTTCGGGAAAAACAAATTTGAACAACATTATTGCTAACTTATTTTGAGGCTAAAATATTGCACAGTAATAAACAGCTTCATACCATTATTTACCACAATTTTATAAATTTTAATTATTGGTGTGCTAGTGGAGGTAAAGACAAACGAGAGAGAACATATAGTGCCTTTGACAAATAATTTTTATAGACACAAAATATTTTTTGTGCCCATTTTCAATAAAAAAGTTGTCATGTGATCCCACTCGACACGATTTCCGTGCCCATTACTGTTTTGTGTCTGCTTTTTTTAACATTGGGCATAATAGATGGTGCCCTCTATGGAATGAGAATTGTTTAAGCTTTTTGGTGGTCAAACTGACACAAAATTCTCAATTGTGCCCTTTATTTTGTACCCAAAGCTCATTTTTCTTGTAGTGTGTGTTCACAAATTTGGTTTTGACCATGATAGAACGCCAAATAGTTGTGCATTTGAATTCATATATATTCGGATAGAGAATGAATAGTACAATCTTATAGGCAATCCAAATATCAAAGAATAGATCAGCGGAAGGTATGGGCTATTTAACCCCATCGGATGACAATGTTATAAATTGAATAGAGAATAGGGGAAATTTTTTGTTTCATACTTGACTCCAGTTCTTTTGCTTGTTTATCGCCTTCTGTTTGTTCTTCGTATTTATGCAGGGTTTAAGTAGAGTGTGTGGGGTGTATATATAGCATGTGGGGTGCGAGGGTAGCATTGAAAAACATGTGAAGTGCATTAAGATAAATTTTGATTTAAGAAGCATATGTAAAATGTATTAAGTATGTGAAGTGTAGTCAACAGAATAAAACAACCCTTATTGCAATAGATCGTAAAGTTTATTAATTTTGGGTTTAAGCACGTGGCCTTGTAAAGAAAACTTGGAAAACTACGTTGTTTTAAGCCATTTCGACCACCCTTCCTCTTTCCCCACTGAACAACTCCCTCTCACACCTCCCCTCCCTCTCCAAAATCCACCACAAGTCTCCGCCGCCGCCCAAGACCAAGCTCTCGACGAAACCCCAGTCCTCGGGGCGGAGCCCGTAGAGTTCTCCAACACAAGACTGCTTGCCCATAATGTTCCTTGGCATTGCACCCCGGAAGACATCCGTACTGTGTTCGAGAAGTACGGCACCGTCGTTGACATTGAGGTTGTCATTTTTCTCCATTTTTCTCCATTTTTCTCTGGTTTGGAAGAGGATTATATTTGTTGGGTATTAATAATTTGTTATTTTATTTGATGGCTTTTGAATGTTCTTGTGTGATTTTTTTTATTTTTTATTTTTTGGTGGCGGTGTAAGCTTGCCATGTATTACAATGGGTTCGAGGAGGCTCGTACGGCTCTGGATAATCTCGAATCGTCTGTAAGCATATCAGGTTCTGTTATCTTATGTGAATGCTCGTGTTGTTGTAAGTTTAGTTTTATACTTGGTTTGGTCAGTGAGAAAGACTACTAGTTGGGAAAGTGAAATGAAATTTGGGAATTTTATAGTTTTTCGCCGTGGGAGAGGTAGTGTTCTACTTTTCTACTTGACCACTGCTTTGTGTTTGTTTCGTTCGCATGGAAATTCGTTGCTGTCTAAAAATATAAGAAGAGAATTTTAGTTCTTTGTTTCATGTATATTAGTGTGTACTTTTCCTGTGTCTGTATTTGGAGCAGAATTTATTGGTGAAATTCTCTAGTATGAGTATCCCCTTGACTTTAAGTTTAACCTCTGTTCCGTATTAGGCCTTTTATCTGGGAATGCAATTATTCATTTGATTGGAGGTGGCACATGTTACTAATTTAAGAGCCTAATTTGTTATTGTATTCCTAGAAGTGAGGTCTATTGTTCCATCTCTTCATTTGTAGATGATAAAAGTCATCATTCAGTCACCGAGAGAGCATAAATGGCAATCTCTTAGAGGCGTCTGACACCTCTAGAAACCAGTTAACTTATCATCATTGTCATGAATTCATGCCAAGACATCTATATGCCCTCATCCTTTCTCATGTCACCATAATTTAGCACCATACCCTATCACACGCTCACTTCTTCACCTTCTTCCACCTCTTCTATTGGTTTGTGATCTTCTTACTTTTGTTGGACGTGCCTTCAATTTGTGTTCAACATGCAGAGCTACTCCAGCATCAAGTAACAAGGGATTGAGCTGGAACTATGGTATACTGTACTTCTACTGTCACATTTTAGTTTTTACTAGTTGTGGAGGTTGTGAAGGTTTCCTCATCCACTGGGTTCGTTCCTCTTCTTGTACCGATACTGTTTGGTTGTAGGAGAGTCCCAGAGTCGCAAATTTTGAAAACAGGGGAAAGCAAGAGAGGATTTAACATGAAGTTTTAAGGAGATGAGAAGAGATATATGTTTGAATGGAGTGATAGGGTGGTGAAGACTAGAAGATGTTTTAGGGAAAGGGAGAGGGAAGAAGTCAATGGAGGTAGTGCTGCCACCGTTTTCTCAATATTTGAGAATTAGATCATTTGTATTCCCTTGAATAAGTTTTCCATATGCCACTGAGTGAGTACTTCCCTTAGTAATATTGAAGGACCAATCATACAGAGTATAGTTTAAAGGGTTAAGTGTCTCATTTTGAAGTTCAAGAATCAATGTAACACTTGGGTTAACTAGTAAATTTTTTCCAAGTTGATATGTTGGCCTTTTCACTTTGCAAATATGTTAGCTAAAGAAAGCAAATGTTTTACAAATTAATTTTGTATATCTTCCAGTATATTTTGAGCAACTAAATGTATGATGCTTGTGTGGCTTCCTTCCCATATGAAATGGAGGGTCGTGTCATAAAGATGGCCTATGCCAGGCCGAAAAAGACGAAGATTCCTCCCCCTTTCTTCACAACCCAAGCCATTAACTTTCAATTTGTATGTGGAAAGTTTGTCGTATGAAGCAAGGTCTAAAGATCTCAAGGGGCTCTTTAATTCAGAGGATTATAGTGTTGTTACAGCCGAAATTGTATTCCAAAATAACCCGAGAAGGTCCGCAGGATATGGATTTGTGGGCTTCAAAACCAAGACTGAGGCTGAGGCAGCTCTTTCTAATCCTCACGGGAAGGTAATTTTCTGTTTAATGATTGTTCTGAATCCATTAAAATAATGTGTTCAAATCAAGTCTAGGGCATGAAAAGTTAAAATTCTCAACTGCATTCTATACAGACTTTCAGTTACCTATATTAAAATGAAGATTTCCCCTTGGAAACTTTTTTTGTGCAGCTGCTTATGGGAAGGCGAATTTGTGTGGCGCGTAGTAAACAATTTGTTAAAGTACCAAAAACAGAAAGTTCAGAATTGGGTGATAAATCTACCGAATTGAATTCAAGTGTCGAGGAAGCGAACACAGTTGTCAATGATACAAACTGAATTTGGCTGGCATGGTGAAATTTCTGCATTATCATCACATCATATTTGTGTAGGTATGTCCTCTCTTTAAATCATGTTCCGCTTATTTGAAACTAATGTAGCTAGTTATGTTGTATGCCCTTTTAATTATTGTTTAACTTAAAATTTGTTAGTTGGACAATTAGGTCTTTGGGTGACTCGGAGCATTAGTTGCTTTACTAGAATATGCATTCGGTTCCCAATTTCTGCTGTAACTTCTGCATTGTTTAAACTACCTCAAATTAGATATCGACTGTAAATTGCTAATGTTTTCATCTGGAAGTTTAATTACATTGGTTGAAAGTAAAGTCCGTTATTTTTACATGGCCCATTGGCCCAATGTTGAATGGAGGTCGTGGCATTTAGTCTTTCTCAATGGCGAGTTGTTATTGGCACTCCAAACTTCCTCTATTTAGAAAGAAAGATACACTTGTGAGGAGTGCACAATGAAATTTTTGGAGTGCCAATAACAGTTTCCTTCTCAATGCCGTTAAGTTATTTAATCGACATATGTCTGTTTTCATAGCAACTTAGCATATCTCTCTTTGGATTCCAAACTATAACCACACCGACTGGGAAGCTGTGAGATGTTCTGAACTTGTGGATAACGATTCAGGAAAAGTGTAGTTAAGAAATACAGGTTTCCTTGATCTTTTAGAAGAAATTGCTTGCTAGAGAGTGGTAGACAAACTTGCTGCATAAGGCTGAATGAGTTTTTGAACTTCGTACATTTACCTAGAGAGTGGGAGTGAATTTTTGGCAGCTAACTTCTGCACTTAGTTTTATTCAAGCATTTTTGTTAAGCAAATATTTGTGCTTTGGAATATCATCTTAGTGCTTTAAAATCCTCTCGACCTGCCTCTCGTTTGTAGGAACATATGTGTATGCTCACTCGTACTTTCCCTGCATACTCGGTGAGATTCTCACCGTCTTTTGGGGGCGGATAACATTCATTGGATTCCGTCACTCTAGTACTTGTACAAGGTTGCTGGAAGGCTAGAGGCTGGTTATGCACGTAGGCTACAAGTTTGGACAGATTGAGCTATTTGTACTATAAATTAAACATTTTAGTGTCTTGATATGTACCTTGTCACCCAATAGTTCAAAACTTTAGGTTAAATGTTCATTTTTGAGATCTTTGTTTCTTATATATGTGACATGTAGTCTTCATTTTAAAGAAATCAATGGTAAAAGCTAATCAAGTTTCTATTGTTTTCGTTGTTTGAATTCACAACATAACAAACTACAAACTTGAACCATATGTTGACATTGAAAAAAGAAGTATCAGTAGACTCACGCGGCTGACCGCCCAAAAAAACCACTAACCTGTAAAAAGAAACTTTGTAATCTTTGCCTACATTGTTAGTGTGAATAATGTTTCTTCAACTGAAATGAAAAACACAACCGAAAAGGAACTGAATGCTTTTGACGTTGAGAATTTACCTAAGGATTAGGTATACGCATTATGGCATTGGACATTGTTCTCGTTTGTTTTGGAACATTTTTATTTTTTATTTGTTATTATTAAGGGGAGTGGGAGGAATCGAATCTATTACAATATTTAGAGGAGGGGGGAGTTTTGAACCTGGGACACATGGGTGGAAACCCAACACCCTATCCATTAGAATATTGGATCACATGCTTGGAACTTGCCCACTTCTAGTCTATTTCTTACAGCATTCTGAAAGTATAATTGGATGTTCCTATACCTCATAGAGTGGATCTATCTACCCATTATGAATAATGTAATTTTACTATACAAATTCCATAATCAGAACCATTCAATTTCTTATCTTTATTTGAAGATCATTCCTACAAAAAACTATTCGAAATGGAGATTGTTTAGTCATTCGATGTATGGAACAAATAGGTTGTAACAATCCAACTCTACTTTTATAAGATTTTATGAAGACTAATAAAAGTTTTTATGTGGAGGTTGATTCATCTGCTGAAGACACAACACAACCATTGAAGAGAAACTACTAAATTCTGCTTTGGCAACATTGATCAATAAAGATGAAGCCGTGTCTACACATGCTTTTCTGGAGTTCAACAAAGGAAACGAATCATGTGGAAGGTTGCTAAAAATGTGGAACTGGTGAGTTTATTTGCAATTCTTCATTCTGTTTTTTTTTTTTTTTTTTGTCAAATGGTGAATTAGAATCTACCGTTGTGCAAGCTCTACTTTTAGGGTTGCTCCTATCTGAATATGAACTTCTGGTTTCTGAATGTGGTAGCTTGAGCCGTTGTCTAAAAAAGTTCTACCACTAGTTGCTGAGGTAAAGACACTTGAGAAGGATAAGGAACATCTTGAAGAAAGTTGAGGTTCCACCTTAAAACCAATTGGCAATATGGGGAGCAGCCTACCCTCTTATAAACTCATGCAAGGTCCATCCTTTCATCAACGTGGGACTCATTCTCAACACGCTCCCTCACGTGTGGCGAATTTTTGAGCCTACCACGTGGACAACACAACGGGGTGACGTGGAGCACATGTAGCCATTTGGCTTCACATGTGGGACAACCTGTTCTGATACTATGAAGAAAGTTGAGGTTCCACCATAAAACCAATTGACAATATGAGGAGTAGCCCAACCTCTTATAAGCCAATGCAAGGTCCCTCCTCCTATTAATGTGAGACTCATTCTCAACACATCTAAGGATCAATCTTCGTACGGCTGAAGAAGAGGAGGTAAGGAGTGTTGAAAATTTTCAACCTTTGCTTCTTTCCGTAATCTGTCCTCTCTCGATTTTTCCTGGAATACTCTATATTGTACAATGATATCCCATACTTGTGATGTGTATACATCAAAATATCGTAGAATGATTTCTCATATTTATGATGTGTGCAGGTCAAATTGCTTTTTGAAGAAAACGAAGTCCTAATTGTGGAGAACAAAAAATTACTGATGCTGAACCAGAAGGAAAGAAACCATTCTGCTTCTGGTAGAAAACACACTGACAGTGCATCAGCGAAGGTGAGTCAAGGGGCAAATAACAGCTTTAATTTGTTTGTTCTATTGTTGGTCTGCTCTAACATATGTATTGTTTCTCCGTTGCAGTCAAATAAGTGCAAATCAAGCTCTAAGTTAAGCAGCCCGATTCAAGGGAAGATTCATTTCAGTGAGCAAGAAGCAGCAAGACAGCCCCTATCACCCTTGTGCTCTAACTCCCCTAACTATAGAACCTATAAGTAGTAGTAAATTTTTTTTTCACAGAGTCCCATTTGTACCTTGTGTATACAGGATACCTTATGATGGGGGTTAAGATCAGAGTTCGGAATGACCAACAAGTTTGATTGTAAGAATGATTTGCTATGTCCTTTAGTAAATGGTTGGGGATTTTTCTTTTGAAGGGCGATGCCAAGTTCTCGTCTTTACAACTTCGGTAACTTGTAGGGATGCATTAGTTGCAGTTATGAAATTGTTTTGCGTTTATGATGAATTTCTCTGATCATGTTCTTGTATATTACAATTGTCTGGTTGCATGGTGCAATATGCGTGAATATATTTCTTCATAAATTTGTTCACAAAAGGTGTACTTGCGACAAAGTTCTCAACCCGTTCTTGTCCGTTAAACTCAGATACAAAATTGAACCGAAGGATAAAAGTTACTAAAACCACAAAACTAAAGCAATAAAACTAATAAACTAATGAATGGCCATCTCTTTCCTTTTCACTTTCTTATGGTTTGTTTCCAAGGCCCAGAGAGACAACTCACAGGATACAACATTTCTAAGGATTATGTTTTTCAGAAGATTTTGTGGAGATCTGAAAGTTTCCTAGCTAGTTCACAAGTATCTAAGTTGTACAGTGCATTGGGAAGTTTTGAAGGCATATATAATCATTTCCGAGATGGTGCTGGTTGAACTTAACTAGTGTTGTTTTGATCTTTTTGGATGAGGTTCTTCGTCATCAGTACAACCACTTCGACTTTGTATTCGACTAGGTCCTGCCCCATCATCAAAGTGTTTATGCTTTGCAACCTCATCTGATTCTGATACTGATACAGCTGCTGCTTTGTTGAAGTCGCCATCAGGGATGTCCACGACCTCTTCACAAATGCAAACGTTGCTTTGACTCGGAAATGTTTGCTTAAGAACCACCTCCACATCTTCCTCGTATACTAAACGGACTGCACACTTCTCCACTTCCGCTCTTTTCCGGAGGGATGGAAATGAAAATTCGAGTTGAGTGTAGATATTCTGCCATTCATTGACAAAGTGTTTATGTCGTGAAACAAAACATAACCAAAGGTGGCCAGAATTACCAGCTGCTTGAATTGATCCCAACCAACAGCTCAAAAATACCTTCTCTTCCAACAGTTTTCCATTGACACTCAGTTCGCAAAGAATAAAATCAGGACGTGTCTCTCCAAAGACAGCACAGAGAGCAAATCCCATCCACTTGTCCGTTAACCAACCTGAATACAGCTCCACATTTACTGAATCTCCCACACTTTTATGATTGAACCACTTGGGGATTTCATTCCCGGGAACAACAAAATCACATTGAGATCCAGTAAATTTAGTGAGAAGTTTAACCAAGTCTACAGAAGATGTTTCCAGTGAATTACAGTTGTAAGCTTCAACGGAAGACATACTGGATGGAAGGTCTGGCAATGCTTTAAGCCTGTGGCAGTTGCCCACAGCAAGAGATTCAAGTTTAGAAAGTTGACCGATGCTCTTGGGTAGGCTAACAAATGGATTTCCACTTAGATATAAAAATTTTAATGAAGACATGCAGCCTAGATCATTGGGGATATCTCCTTCCAAAAGATTGCAGCGACGTAGATCTAGTTCTGTTAAAGAATGCAAACCCAATAAAGAAGGCAACCACAAAGACGTGGGATTTGGACTTACTTTTAGTGATTGTCGCGGCCAGAAAGGGAAGAGCGTAATATTCCATGGCTTAGATGACGGGACTTTACATCCACGGAAAGATAATACTTTAAGATTTTTGAAACAACCGATGGAGGCAGGTGGTTCTCTTATTGCAGTTCCACCCACATCAAGCTCTTCCAAACCCTCAATATGGCCCAAGTCTTCTGGCAATTTCTCAAGCTTTGAGCAACCACAAACATTAAGAATCTTGAGAGATTTCAAGCCACAAACACTCTTTGGAAGACGCACAAGGTTTTTGCAATCTTTCAAGTTCATCAATGTAAGTCTTCCAAGCATTCCGGCAGATGAGTCAACCTCATACAGTTGTATACACCCTTCAAGAATCAGACGCTCAAGAAACGGAATATCTCTGAAGTCTGGGGTCTGGACAAGGCTCAGAGAGTGACTGAGATCAATCGTTTTTAAACTGCTTATAGGCTGTCAAGCAAAAACATAGAAAAATTAGCTTCCGTGAAGCAAAAACCTCTCATGAAAATAAAAGTCCAAGAAGCGAAAAGATACCTTTATATGTTTAAAGCGACTGTGATGCAGATTAAGTTCTAATAAGTCCTCTGGACTGAAAGATGATGGCAAAGATTTTAATGGAAATTCGGGCCATTCGAGAATCCGTAAACTATTGGGAAGATAATCAAGCCCATTAGAGAGCACCACATTATTTAGCTTGAGGTATCTCAATTTGTTCATCATTAAAAAGGACCTAGCATTGGCAGTCACCAATTCTAGCTCAAATGGGTGCACCATTATACCTTCTATTGTTTCTTGTCCCTAAGCAAGCAAGAATAAACAATGGTTAAACTCACAACATAAACAAAGCGTTAATCAGTAGAGCAACATGTTATATGAATATATAGTTGATAACAATTAAATTCAATCTTTTACTAAAATCGAACTCATACTGTATTTTTTCTCAGGACTTGATCGACGTCTTCTCTACGCCACAATCTGCTACGCCTTCCTGGATCATCAGGAGACTCTCGGCGGACGATTTCTCGACCCATTTCTTGGAGTAAATCATGCATCGACATAATGCCATCTGAAATAGTTAATAGAGATTTCTCAACAAGCACAGCCAATCCAATTTCTGCATAAAACCCACAAGCATCCAGTGTTTCTCTAACTCGATTTTTGTCCTTCAAGTTAAAGAAACATGCAATGTCTAGAAAAATTCTCTGCTCATCGTGCTCTAGATCATCATAACTTATTTTAAGAGTCTCCAAAACATCTGAATTACAAACTTCTCTTAGTTTATCCAACGCACTTGTCCACGCACTTAGATCTCTTCCATGCAAAAAAGACCCCAAGACTTTAACTGCTAACGGAAGACCCTTGGCATAATTCACAACATGATTACACATACCTACATAACTTTGTTCAGGATAATCTCTCTTAAAGGCTTTCCAACTAAAAAGCAGAAGAGCTTCATCGTCACTTAGTCCCTGGACCTCAAATGTTCTGTCCACTCCATGTGTGATCAACAAATGTTCATCTCTAGTTGTAATTAGAACTACACTTCCGGAACCAAACCACCCTCGGTTTCCAGCTAAATGTTCTAACTGGTCCAAATGGTTCACATCATCAAGAATTAGGAGAACCTTTTTGTGATGCAGAAACCTCTTTATCATTTTGATCCCTTCACTAACGCTCCATATGTAATCAATTTCCATACCAATCTTAGAAAGAAGTTGCTTTTGTAGATGAAGTATACCAGTTTTTGCAACATTATCTCTAACATTGTCAAGAAAGATACTGAACTCAAATTCATGAGAGATTCTCTCATAAACAACTCTAGCAATTGTGGTCTTGCCAATCCCACCCATCCCCCATATGCCAATAAAACAAACATCATCCACCCTTTCACTTAAAAAAAAATTGATTGGTTTCAATCTTGATTCCATTCCAACTAGACCCTCCACATGACTTGATAGTGTAGGGCGCAATTTTTTCCATACCAGTTCAACAATATCTTTTATGAGCTTTGATTCGTACCTATTACAAAGAATAGATTAGATATGTTAATCATGTTGTTCATGTATATTAGTTATATTGAAAAAGAAGCAAAATGTAAATATGGTTTTAATACTCTATTGCGGAACAGATATTGCATTATATACGTAGCATTGAAAGGCTAGCTATTGGTGCATACCAGTTCTTCGAATCCCATCCAGATAAATTTGCCACTGTCGTTAAAGCATCTCTCCAACTTTGCACCTTCATTAAATCATTCTTAAGATTTTCTTCATGCTTGGTGAAGGCTTCTGCAAAACTTCCTTTCTGCTTTCTTACATCAGATGGATCAACTTCGTAGAATATTGGAAGCACTGTCTTTCTTGCTTCCATGCATTCAAGAATCTTTAAAAGTTCGTCCAAGCACCATGTTGACGATGCATAATTCTTTGAAAGAACAATCAGTGCAAACCTTGATTCTTGAATTGCACTAAATAATTCTGGAGAAATAGATTTCCCTTTTTGAAGTTCAGGATCATCCTTGAAAGTTAGTATTCCATGACGTTCCAATGCGCTGTATAAGTGGTCCGTAAAACCCTTTCGGGTGTCATCACCTCTAAAACTCAGAAAGACGTCATATTTCCATTGAGTTGGAAAAGGGAAAGATGTAGAAGTTATTTCCATTGTCATCGTGACAGGACTCTCTACCTTGTAGCTTTTTTCTGGCAATTAATTGGAGAGGTCTCAGAGGATATAAGAATAACCCGAAGCTTTTTATCAATATTTGAAGTCTAGGCATTGAACGGTAGAAAATCGAGTTTCCCCCTTCTGCATATAAACAGAAAAGATTAATGACTTCCTTATGAACCAATTATTGGTCTTCAGTTCCAGACCAAAAATAAAAACAAAACAAAAAAATATTTGTTTGAGGACTGTAGAGTTTGTTGTATTGTTTTCAATCATTTTTAGTTTTTATGCCTGTTCGTGTCTCTCATTCATCTTGTTCTGGAATCTTACAGTCGCACGCACATTTTTTATTTTTTTTTTGGAGAAGGAACGACACACACACACACACACACACACACACACATTTATACATCTTACTTATTTGGTTATTGCCATTCTTCTAAAACTAGAAAGAATATCCTGATCAAGAGTGGTGTATTAAATTATTAATTTGTTGTTTGAATATGATTAATTTCTTGAACATAGTATATAATTAACATTGAGTTAGGTGCCTAAATTAGTTAGTGCAGTGCCTCTATATAACAGATACAACATCAAAACAGAGATTTCATTAATTTAAAAACGAAAGAGCAAAATCTGTATGGAGAAATGTAATATAAGTGACAAAGAAACAAAAATTAAGTGATGGAGATCAAAACTAGTTGAAGCTTAACCTGGTTTCCTGGAAATTATTTGCAGTTGGGCAAGTTTCAATTCCCATCCTTCTTCAGTCTTCAGATATGTAAATTAGCAGCTGATGAGTAAATTATAACAGTCCATGTATTCATACCATTGGTCTCTAAGGAGGAACCATACACTGAACTAATAATTCTGTGATTTGTGCTCAAAAGACCTAAAGACAGAGGGTAGATGAAGGGTCAAGCTGCAGTTATCTTCCTTTCAAAAGCTTACGATTATCAGAAAATTCAAACGTGTCGACTATTGAAGGTGTGTTGCAAAATTCAAAAGGTCTCCGAAAGACTACATGCACCACATTGAATATGGACCATTAACTCCCCATCCATACTTTAACAGCAATGCAACAATTCAATCTCTTTCCTGGCCTAACAGTCCTACCTTTCCTAACAGTCCTACCTACCAAGGTGCAACTGGGATTAGAAATTTTAATCCGAACTCAAAATTTTTATTTCGAATTTGACTATTTTTTATTTTGAAAAAATTAAATGGCAATTAGAATGTACTTATCTCATTCAAAATTTTTCAAATTTAGTATTATAACAAAAAAAAAAAACCATGCATATTTTTATGAGAGCTTTAATGAAAAAAAATTGAGTTAAGTTTATTTTAATAAAAAAAATTCAGTAATTTTATTTAATAAAGATGACTTCTTGTGGTCTATTTTAACCGATAGGGAGAGAGAGGGCCGGCAGCAGAGAGAGATGTCTTTGTAGGAATGTAAGGAAATGTGTGTTATCCCTCCTACGTAGGTCCTTATTTATAGTAATAAGGGAGAGAAGAAATTCTTCATCCCCAAGGAATACAACTCATAATAGTAAATGATAACTATAATCAAATCTAATATAGGATTTACACAATCACACTTTAATAGGAAGTTGACAACACTACCCCTTGAGTGTGTACATACTCAAGGTAGATTCGATATCATGTAGAAGTTGAGGAAGTCGACTCGTTGGCACTTATTCTAGGAACACGCTATTCTCAATAAGGTAGGAACTTGCATAAGGAAGTAAGTTTCACAAAAACCCTAAGGCTATGACAAAAACTCGAGTAGGGACAAAATCGATTGTCTAAGTTAAAATGCGTGAGCAATGCAGGACGTCATCAGGGATATGATTAGCCTAAGGTGGGTGCCTCGTTAAAACCTAGTTAGGTAGCAAAAACCCAGTGGGAAAAATATTTTAGTCGTAGGGAAAAAGAGTACAATAAGATGAAGCAAGTATACTTCAGGATACTCCCCCTGAGTTTGACACAATTCCAAAGAGAAATAGCAATGTTACAACTCAGAAAGTTTACACATACCAATTCCTTGAACAGGCTTTTGAAACATCATCTTCGGCAGTGATTTGGTGAAGAGATCAGCCATATTGTCTTGTGAATGATTTACGTGACTTCAATCTTCTGATGCTCTTGTTGTTGATGTGAGAAGAAGAACTTTGACACAATGTGCTTGGTGTTGTCTTCTTTGATGTAACCCTTCTTGAGCTATTCGATGCATGTTGTGTTGTCTTCATAGATCATCGTAGGAACATCAACAACGGGGTAAAGATCGCAGGAGCTTCGATTATGGCCCACTACTGTTCTCAACCAAAAGCATTCCCGAGTTGCTTCATATAAGGCGAGAATTTTAGCATGGTTAGACAAAGTGGCAACTAAGGTATGTTTAGTTGACCTCCAAGAGATTTTGGTGCCTTCAACGGTAAAGATATAACCCTTTTGAGAACGCACCTTGTGCAGATCAGATAAGTATCATGTATCGACATTACCAACAAGGCGAGAATCGACTCGAGAAGCAGAGGGTCTGACATCACTCGAGGATCCGTAGGGATAGAATAAGCCCAAATATGTAGTACCCTTAAGGTAACGGAAGATGTCTTTAATGCTAGTCCAGTGTCTGCGTGTTGGGGCATTACTGTATCTTGCCAAAAGATTAACAGCGAAGGAGATGTCAGATCTAGTGCATTGAGCTAAATACAATAAATCACCTATCGCATTTAGATAAGGAACTTTAGACTCCAAAATCTCTTTATCATCCTCATTCGGACGAAAGGGATCTCATTTTGCATCTAGCGATCGAACAACCATAGAGTCGTAGGCTTCACTTTATCCTTGTTAAAGCGGTGCGATACCTTCTGGGTGTAGTTTGATTGATGTACTAAGATTTCATCCGAATGGTGCTTTGTCTCGAGACCGAGATAGTATCGAGTCTTTCCTAGATATTTCATCTCAAATTCCAACTTCTGGTGCGTGGTAGTTCTCACGAGCTATTCAGGAGTTCCAATGAGATTCATGTGATCGATATATATTGCAACAATCGCAAAACTGAATGTGACTTCTTAATGAACACACAAGGCATAGTTTGTTGTTCACTTATCCTTGACTAGTCATATACTCACTCAGACGGTTATACCACATTCTTTCGGATTGCTTCAAACCATAAAGTGAATGCCTCGCCGAGTTGAGAGCGTGTTCCGGGGCTTGTAAATATTTGATCTAGTCAATGTAAGTCATTCGGGAACTTTCATATAAATTTCCGTCTCAAGATCCTTATAGAGATACCCAGTTACTACGTCCATCAGCTGAATACTCAGTTGTTCGGAAATTACCAAACTGATAACGTAGCAAAAAGTAATCACATCCATAACGGGTGAATAAGTTTCGTCATAGTCAATCCCAGGGCATTGTGAGAAGCCTTGTGCAACAAGACGAGCTTTGTAATGCACAATTTCATTCTTCTCATTACGTTTCCAAACGAAAATCCACTTGTAGCCAACGGGCTTCACATGTAGAGAAGTAAGAGCTACAGGTCCAAACACCTTACGTTTCGTAAGCGAATCGAGTTCGACTTGGATTGCTTGATTCCAGTTTGACCAATTAGTTCTATGTCGACATTCATCAATAGAATGCGGTTCAATGTCATCGCTCAACATGATCTCAGTAGCTACTACATATGCTAATGCATCGTCGACAATCATCCTATTTCTACACCACACATCATTAAGCTAGCATAATAGACTGAAATTTCACAATTCTTGGGAGGAGGATTCGTCTCTTCAAGGATGCTTCTATAATCTAGAATTTCCTCATGAGTTGGATAGAATGAGTAAGTGACAGTCGGATTCACGGTAGATTCTTCATAAACCTATGTAGTGGGTTTCCTCTTCCAAGGGTGTGAATCCTTTGAACCAAGCGGTATGCCACGCTTATGTGTAGGGGCAGATGATTAGCTAGCCGTTAATGTACGTTGATCAGCCAAAGCGGTGTCCTAGGCCTCTAGGAGGGAAGTCTATCGTACATTTGGTACATTCATCTTTGCAGGCACATTCGCATCCTAAATATGTGATATTGTCACTCTTGTTAGATCAGTGAAAGCATCTAGCATGCTCTGAGCTATACTCTAGAGATCTAATATGTGCTGCACTTTAGTTTCAAACTGAGCGGTGCGGGGATCTAAATGCGACAAAGTGAAAGTTGTTCACGATAATTCACATTGCTCTTTAGGAACGTTAACTTTCTTATTTCCTCCTAATGACGAGAAGATTGTCTCATAGAAGTGACAATCCACGAAATGAGCGGTAAACAGATCACCTGTAAAAGGTTCTAAGTAACGAATAATCGAATGAGAATCATATCCAACATAAATTCCCATCTTTCGCTGAGGCCCTAATTTTTGTACGTAAGGGGGGCGAAATTGACACATAGACTGCACAGCCAAAAATATGGAAATGAGATATGTCAGGTTCATATCCGGTAATCAATTGAAATGCGCTATATGGTTCGATAACAACATGCCTCAGGTGAACCAACATGGCTGTGTGCAATATTGTATAGCCCCAAGCAGCAATCGGGAGCTTGGTACGTATGACTAATGATCGAGCAATCATTTGTAAGCGCTTAATGAATGCTCTGCTAGGCTGTTCTAGGTGTGAACATAGGGTACAGGATGTTCAACTTCAACCTAACCAACATGCAATAGTCATCAAAAGTTTTAGATGTGAATTCTCCAGCATTATCCAATCGAATGGATTTGATCAGATATTCAAGGTGGTGAGCTCTAAGCTTGATAACCTAAGCAAAAAGTTTGGAGAATGTAGCATTCCTTGTGGACAACAAGCACACATGTGACCAACATGTGGAAGCATAAACCAAAACCATAAAATATCTAAATGGTTTGCATGGAGGGTGAAGGTCCACAAAATATCCCCCTGAATCCTTTGTAGAAAAATGGGAGGATTTGAACAAATCTTGTCATAAGAAGGCTTAACAATAAGTTTCCCATTGAACATGTTTGACATGTGATTCCCTGAATTGAACCTAAACTTTGGGTTAGTGGATGCTTGTGTGATGATTTGAGCATACAACACATCGCTATTCGTCTAGAATGTCCCAAACTATCATGCCAAAGTGTAATTTCGTGTGCAGTCCCAGAGGTAGAGCCAGCCACATAGTGGCATTCTATGGGTCATTTGGTCGTAGTATACATACCACTCGAGATACGCTCTATCTTCTCTAGAATACACTTCTGGCCATATTCGTAGTAAGTTATGCACATAAATTCAACTCTGTTTTCTACACAGATTTCAACATGGTAATTGTTATCTCTAATGTCCTTGAAACTCAACAACGTTCTTCCGGAATGTGGAGAATAGAATGCCTCATCAATGGTCAAAATTATACCATTGGACAACATTATACGTGCCGTACCATATCCTTCAATCAGGTTGGATAGGCTGAGATAGTTGTCAAAGGGCATTCTTAGGTTTAAAGTTAGTGAAATAGATGCGTTCACGCAAAACGGTGTGCATGGTTGCACTATTTTCCAGACAACTAACTTCCCCACTAGTCATACCTAGAATGAAAAATTAATTTGAATCGTTCATATGCATAAAAGTTCTTAAAACAAATATCAATTCAAAATAATTTTTAAGTATTCAAGGATGGTAATTAATGAAAAACTTAATATCCAAAAACAAATCACCAACAAATAATCCAAACATAAAGGAAAATTGTTCAAAATTTAACCAAAAACATAAAAAAATAAAATAAAAAAAGAGGGGGGGGTTCGGCCACTAATGTGGACTTCAGCCCCAATGTCTTATTTAACTAAAAGGATAGTTTATTTCTAAGATTCTAATCTTCCATAGGGGTGGTATCCTCCTAAAAGTCAGAAACCTCCATCTTTGTACTCTCTGGTTCGTCCACTTGCATAATGATTCAAACTTCTTATGATGATAATGATATTCAGTTACAACCTTCTGGGGAGCTCAGCAAACACGAGACCAATGGTCCTTTGAACCATAG